GGAATATTTCTCCATAAAACTTTCATTAACATCGACACCCTGTGCGACGAAAAGTTCGATGATGTGCACTATACTCAAAGTGTCGGGAAGCATATCCAATGAATGTCATTCCTTTCAATATGTAAATGTATTGCTAAAATTTTTGTAAAACCTCTTGAAGATACATCCATTTTGAAAGAAGTTACAAGTAAAGAAAAGTGGTGCAATATTTATGGGACACCCTATATTATAGCGAACCATTATTGCTATGTGTACCTAGATGAGGAAAAGATAACGGGAATTTTACTCGAGTAAAGGTGGCCAGTGAACAAATCTTGAAATGCTTTTGAAATTTTATGCGATCCCTGGGCTCTTTTCTCAAGCAGCCTTTAGAGAAATGATTGTATTGTAGTGAGTAGCGCCAAAGCTTAGTTTTCAGAAAATTAAAACGGAATGGTCAACCGGGTTGAGAAAAGGAATTTCGGAGGCCATTGCTTGGAAGCGTTGATGCCACGGAGGTCGTTTTGATCCAATTCTGCACTGATCGCGCCTTATGTACCTATGCTGAGTTCTGATGAAGGAAAATGTGGATGCTACTAAAGTGAGATATTAACCAGGGATGTAAATACGTACCGATAACACCGTTAAGGTAGTTGGCTGGTTGATTTCACACAAACGCAACGAAAATACCGACTGAAGCCTTGCTGTCGCTGACGATACGGCCAAAAACAATTTCAGGATGCGAAGCTCAACTGAAATGAATTTTCTAGCGCATTATTTCTGGCTGACTCACTCAAAAAGTAAACAGCGAACTTTTAACGTTGCAACTTTTTCAGCCATGAGCAGCACGCCATCAACGAAAACCTCGTTTCCTGTTGGAGCAGCTGCGCCTTCTACTTTCGCATCGGCCTTGTATTCTACTCCTCCGCAATACGACGTCGTCCCTGACAATAACACATCGTCATCTTCTCAAGCTGGCTCAGCTCTATATGCATTGCCTCCGCAGTATGATGTCGTACCTGGTACTGCTGCCCCGTCATCCACTCAAATGGCTCCTAGTCATGGTCAGTTTAAAGCTTTATTGCCATTGATGTTCGCAAGTTATATCATAAAAACAATGTGAGAGTAACAACAAGAACTATAGCTCAATAGGTTCTCCCTTGGCAATGGTTTAGCTTCTGAAGACATGAGTTTCTGTTCTATTTACCAGGACGAGATTCGGTTTTTGGATAGGGATCGACTCGTTTTCATAGCTTAATTTGATTAATTCATCTCGATCCAAGTGTGTCTTTGCGTGGAATTTGCGAAAAATATGCTTCACCTTCTTTATTTTTAGTGTATCCTGTTCTTTACGAAGAACCACCTGCTGAAGATCTGACGACTATCCCGGCATACGATGTGCCTCCAGTTGAGAACGGAAGATTACCATCGGTGAGATCATAATAGATGATTGTAGCTGCTGGATCGTTGCTTTACTTTTTCCGTATGTGTTATAGTAAGGATTGTTTGAGTAGGATTCATGTTCCCTATTCATCTCTTACATGCGATGAAGTTCTCCAAGGCACGGGTCGCGATTAGATCCTTAGGAGATTCTCTTCTTGAGCGAGGTAGTAGGACCCCTTATTACAACGGTGGTGATATTGTCGCGACTCGATGGTGCGCGACAATGGAGTTGATGCCTTAGCTTGACCACTGCGACCATCCTTATCAATCGCGGCATTTGCCGCTCTCGCGTACGACATGCTTTCTCGCGTTCTCGCAGGCACTGTGTCCCTCCGTCACCCACGGCCCGACTCCACAAGGGAAAATTTGATGTTTCTATGGTGCTTTTGCTCTTTTCCCCACAAATGTTCCTTATACTTATAATTTTCAAACAAAACATACCAATTCGATCCCGTGCCGCATTTAACTTGATGGTATGGTTCAAGGTTCTTACCCTACCTTTAAGGGCATGGGCAGTCACTTTTCATTGTTTTCTACGGTGTTACATACGTTCACATTTAAGGTCATGTACAGTAGTCCACAATGTCGACGATATTTCGCCTCTCTTACCATTCTTCTATCTCATTATTGTATTTCAGATTGGGAAGATGACAGCTGTCTTTGATTTTAAGCCCGTTGGACCTAATCAACTTGAAATTGTAGCGGGTGAACGATTAGATTTGATCCAAGTGAGTCATTGCTTCAATTAAGATTGTTTTCGTTGGATATGGTTGATCATAACAACCTGGCATTTAGGCTCACGATGATGGAGGAAATCCAGAATGGATCTGGGTCCAGCGACCGAATGGAGAACATGGTTTTGTCCCCGCAGCGTATTGCAAAGCAGTGTAGGTGTTAGTAATGCAACATCCGGTCTCTTCGTTTTTTTATCGTTCAGATTGATAATTTCCAACTTTGCAAGAACTAGTATTGATATCGTTGTTTCCCTAATCTTGCGCTTACTTATCAACATTTAGGCTCACATAGACTTAATTATGCGACTTAACGTACTAGATAGGTAGTGGCCTCCTTTGCCCAGATTGTATATTGGTGCTGCTCAAAGATTTTCATCTTGCTGCACTATCCCCTTTCCTGTGATACGAGCATATGGTTAGTTAATAGGTTCCTACACGAGATCGAGTCCTACTTTCCTTGTTTTGCTTTCGGGTACGCCATCTTGTCCCGTAACTGTACGCAATTTCGGCCCTAATTCAGAATAGTTTATATGTAGATTCATATTTTTCGTGATCAATGATTGTTTTGCGTTTCATATTGGCTGAACTGTTGTCCGATGTCCGATGTGGTGCTCTTAAATATAATAGTATAGATTGAGGTATGCATAATTGCCATTTATCCGATAAACTTCTACGTTTTTTGTTAGGGCTTTGTAATTCTCATTGAGTGCTGAGCTCAGCGGCCGGACCTTGGTTGAGATTTTCTACGCCCATTACATCTACTTGAACGATCCAATTGTAGGGCGAGTTTCCCTCATTGTTAGTCCAGCTGTTATGATCAAATTTTCGACTTAAAAATTGGTTAAGCCGACAGTTGATTGTGAGTTTTTTCATCCAAAATGTTTCTAGTATGGAATTGTATTCCACTCGACCCTAAACCCTGCTGAGAAAGCCATCCGACGGGGTAGAGAGTACCTCATCGAATGGCTTTCTCAGCAATATTTGTAGATATCAGAAGCAGGGTGAATATCAGTCGAGGAAATCCTCGTCAGCGGGTCTTATTTATCACAGTGGGTAATAGGGTTTCGTAATCGTGGGGGTCAGTAAAGGAGCACATAGT